ACGTGGGACCCCCCACCAACCCGGGCTACGGGCCCTGCGCTGGAGTGAACTTGGGCTGCGTCGGGCAGCCTTTCCCCCCTAGCCCGACCTGCGCTGGAGATGCTCTAAAGTATTGGACTCGAGGGGTTTTTCTTTATAGTATAGATAAAACAGGTTTATATGTGAAATGACCTAATCTTTTTACAAACACGCTGCAAGAACAAATTGTACCGTACATCAGGAACACAAAAGAAAAGAAGAAAGGAAAAAAAAAGGAAAAGCAAACTGAAAATACAAAATAAAAAGTAAAATATTAATATTAATAATATATATCTAGCCTTTAGGCCTTCTGTTCATCGTCTTGATGTAGACTATTATGATCACATGGAGCCTATCTTGTAGATTGTCTATGAATCGAAAATACTCATATCTCTATGTCTTGTTAATAATTAAAGAACCACAGACTCCCCAAAATCCCACTATAAACCCCAATGCAGTGAAAATATAAAATCATGGAAGTTGATGAAGCCCATTGTCCACGTCTTTGTTGTTCTTGTTATCTACACCAATGCCCTTATTTAGTCCACACTTATTTGGAAGTGGGGCACCACAAAGTTTTGGATTCCTCTCAAAGGTAGAAGCATTGAAGCTTTGGAGCTGGGTGCCAGTTGGTATTGGTCCTTGGAGACTATTATATAAGACATTAAAATCTTTCAAGAAATTAAGGCTCACCAATGACAATGGGATTTCTCCAGACAAATGATTCGTGGAGAGATCCAAAACCTCTAAATTTTTTAGGTTTGATATTTGGTCTGGAATGACACCGGAGAAGTTGTTGGAGTTCAGAAATAGCTAGCAGAGAAGCTGCAATTGGCCGATCTCAGTAGGTATATCACCAATAATATTATTGTTAGATAAGTCTATCGTTGCTGCAATGAAGGACAATTTATACGGTGGAAAAATGTGATTTTCGGTTGCGCCGCCGATGATAGGCAAGTCAAATTCAAATTGGTCTACTTGAGGTGCAATAGGTTCATAAAGCAACCTTGGTAATCTACAAAGTTGCTTTGGAAATTCACCTGAAATTTGGTTCTGTCCCAAGCTTATAAAAAACAGTCTAGGAAGAGTCCCCAACCAACTTGGAATTGGCCCTATCATTTGATTTAAACTCAAACCCAAGATCTCTAGATTCCTGAGCTTTGATAACCATACAGGTATTTGACTAGTGAGGTTAGAATCAACCAAACCCAATACTCGAAGATTTTGGAATCCGTCAAAATCAACCATGTCATCATCAGATGGCATTCCCTCACCTTTAAAGGAACCAGTAAGCATAAGTGCTTGAAGACTTTTGCAACTCATTAATATCTTCATTGCGCTTGTGAAGTTGGTGAATCGGTTGTAACCAAGCGACAAGAAGGACAAGGATTTCAATGAAATAATCTCAGTTTGTATTTCTCCCTCTAGATGATTTCCACTCAATCGAATGGCTTTTAGGGACCTAAGTAAAGGCTTACTGGAAACATACCGGTGAAGTTATTGTACCTCAGGTCAAGTTTAGTGAGTTGACTAAGTCGGGAGAAATCAAGCATGGAGATATGAAGAATTAGCGGGGCCCCCAGCCCCAAAGCTCCTCCGTCTGCTTTATTTTGTCGGCGCTGGCTGTAAGTCATGAAATTTCATTTCAATTTCAAGTCTTTGGTTTTTGAGAGAGAGAGAGAGAGAGTCTTCTTCTTCATCTTCTTTTTCCTTTTAAATGTTTGGTTGAATTTTTTTCCTTTCTGGGTAGTTATTTGCACTGTTGGAATCAATAAATGGCGTGAGCTTTAGAACAAGTCAATTTTACAGCAGCAGCAGCAGCAACAGCTCCCTGAAAATGCCGCAAATACCCTTGAGTGATCTCCAGGTTTTTTATTTGAAAGTCTTGCTGGTGACAATAATGATAAATGTAATGATTTCAAGTTTCACTGATGTACTATGAAATCTTCCTGTTGTTTTACGGCGAATTTTCAATTTTTATCATGGAAAGCTTGAGCTTTGGCTTCATTTTGAGTTTGTATGTGCTGCTCCAGCTGAACTCGTGTTAGACTGAGCTTTGGTAGATTGGTTGTTAAATTGCATAGAAAATGGTGCAAGAATTCATGTCTTTCAATCGGTTTCAATATACCAAATTTAGTCAAATAAGTTTATCAAAATAATTTAAATAAAAATCATCTTGAGATTAGGCTCTCTGTGGGTTTGATGTGCTCTGTGTGCAAAATTTTAGTCACTGGTAATGGGGATTGTGGAGGAATTTCGATTTTCTATACATTTGTGCTTCTTTTGTGACATTATCTTTCAACTTTATAGTTTGATTCATGCACTGTGCACCCTTCTTGAGGATGACTCAAATAGCGAGATTGTTGAGTAAGAATGTGTGTGTATGTAGTTGGGGGCCTATTGTGAGTACTGGGAAGATTTTCATCTTAGAATATATATATATATATATATATATGTCTTTTGAACTTGTTGATCAACCTTATAAGGAAGATAAAGCTGTGGATTCTAATCCAAATCGAGGTGAATTTGTCATTTGTGAATAGTGCTAGGCAAGAGTTCAGGCAGTCTTTATCTAAGATGCTTTGGCATAAGGTGGCTTGTGGTTCCCCATAGAAATACCATAGCATGCATGCTTCTATTTATATACTTTGGACATTCATACATTGCACTATTTTATTTGTTGGTTAGGGGAACAACTTGCTCTTGAAGATTTTTATATATGTCAGTGCACTTATTTGTGTAGATGCTCGATGGACTAAATGTTAAACCATCTTCAAGTATGTAAACAAGCATGCTCTGAAGTAATTAATGAAATTGAAACCTTGTGCTAGTAGGGCAATAGGTGATATGCGCGTGATTTGTAGTGGTGGTGAGTTTGATAGTTTTCTACTGTTATGTCATGGATTTTGCAGCATGCTTCCTTTCAACTATCCTCGGATGCTTATGCATGATCTCTTGGAGCTTCTAACTTCTAACTTCAAATAACGTAGCCAAAACCACGAGGCAATTGCTTCACTGAGTTCTGCAACATTCACATAATGCAGGTGATATGTAATGGTAGTTTTCTTCAAATGTTTCACTCGTTTTCTAAACAAATCTGTCAAAATGAGTTTTTCTGGTAATGGCGTTCGCAAAAATCAGGGGGATGTCTACAACTGCTTCGAGATAGTTTTGTCAATTGTTTGAGTCTGACAGTCTGTTACATACAGTTATCTGTTGCGGCTATGCAGTTTTACCTTCGAAAGCCTTGAAGAACTTATTGAAGGCTTTATGTTTGTTTTTTCATAGAAGCATTCTTTTGTCGGACTATCAATCAGGTTATTGGTTTGGCAGATCATATCCATACGTAGTCAGGATGAAAGTTTGGCCACATAACATTTCAAACTACTTTTTAAAGAACGTTTCTTGGCTTTTAGACCATCCATGGGCAAAATCTCTTCAAATTATTGATTAGATTTGGTGATGTAAAATATATCTTACATTTATTTCTTGTGTCGATGTAATGTCAGTCCGGACCGAAAAGAGGTTCATGGCAGTTTATATTCATGATTTTGGCTAAATCCATATTGATATCATACGGTATTCTGACAGCAAGAAAGAACAGATGCGTTGGCGGAGTGGGATCAGAACCTGACACGGGCATCAGCTTTTATATGGGTGCTGTCTGCTCGGGCTCAGGGGGCTCTATCCAGGTCCATAGATATAGAGATTGCTCCAGCAGGCTTTACAATTTAAGAGCCCAAAATGAATGTCTTTGGGCTTTACAATTTAAGAGCCTCATGGTGGGGATGGCCTAACCACACAACACAAATTATCCAAAGCCCTACGTACTTCAAAGAGAGATTTGCAGTATGACAAAATTCTATAGTGAATGTGTCATATATGGACCTCTCATGTGGACTTTTATATTAGTTATAGGATTATTTCATTAAACTTAAGTGAAGTTACTATTCAGATGAATAATATGGCTAATATGAAGGTCCACATTTATGGCACTCTCGCCATAGAATGACGCGTACAGTATGAAAACAAAGCGAGACCTTGTTATTTTGATGTGAATCAAAGACCAAGTTCAAAGTTGTTTTCATGTGAATCAAAGAATGTTATACCTCAAATCAAGGATCTTAATGTGAATCAAAGTTGTTTTCATGGAACAAAATGCATATTTTCGACCGAAAATAAAAACAGAATGCATACAATGGAAGCAATAATTTACTAACAAAGATAAAGAAGATCGATTGGTGCTGCATCAAACTTTTTATACACATTTTTGTACTCAGTTCACATATCGAACAAATCGGTGCTACTGGTTGTTATAGATTAGAGGTTAGAAATACAGATTACTTGTTACTAAGTACTCTTTGTAAAACTGAACTCTGCCAGCTGATATGTACATCATTTTTGGCAGCTGCTATGTAGCTGAAGTTGTTACTTGAAAAGGTAGTGTGCAGAAATCGCATCCGGAAAAGAAGACGTAATTATAAGAACAAACTGTGCCTAAGCCTTATTACATTAGTGACACAAAATAAAAAAAGGAAAAGCAAAATAAAAAGTACAATATTAATAATATATATATCTAGCTTCTAAGCCTTCTTTTCATCGTGTTGATGCACACTATTACCATCACATAGAGCCTATTTTGTAGATTGTCTGTGAATCGAAAATACTCATATCTCCATGTCTTGTTAATAATTAAAGAACCACAGACTCCCCAAAATCCCAATATAAACCCCAATGCAGCAAAAATATAAAACCACGGAAGTTGGTGAAGCCCATTGTCCACGTCTTTGTTGTTCTTGTATTCTGCATCAATGTCCTTATTTGGTCTGCATTCATTTGGAAGCGGGGCACCACAAAGTTTTGGATTCCCCTCAAATGAGGCAGCGTTGAAGCTTTGGATCTGAGTGCTTGTTGGTATTGGTCCTTGGAGATTATTGTACGAGACATCAAATGCCCTCATGAAATTAAGGCTCGCCAATGAGGATGGGATTTTTCCAGATAGATTATTCACGGAGAGATCCAAAATCTCTAAGTTCTTGAGGTTAGATATTTGGTCTGGAATGATGCCGGAGAAGTTGTTGGAGTGAAGATACAACGCGCGGATAAACTGCAATTGGCCGATCTCAATAGGTATATCACCATCTAGGTTATTGTTGGATAAGTCTATCCCGCCTAGCAAAAACGACAATTTGTGTGATAGAAAATTTGGATGTGATCCACCGTTGATGAGAGGCAATTCAAATTCAAAAGTTTCTACTTTAGATGCAATGTTAGGTTCATAAACCAACCTTGGTAGTCTGCAAAGTTGCTTTGGAAATTCACCTGAAATTCGGTTGTGTGCCAAGGTTATAGAAAAAAGTCTAGGAAGTGTTCCCAACCAACTTGGAATTGGCCCTGTAATTTGATTAAAATCTAGTTCCAAGACCTGTAGATTCTTGAGCTTTGATAACCACACAGGTATTTGACCAGTGAGGTTAGAATAAGCCAAACTCAAAAACAAAAGATTTTGGAATCCATCAAAATCAACCATGTCATCATCAGCTGGCATTCCCTCACCTTTAAAGGAACCAGTAAGCAAGAGTACGTGGAGACTTTTGCAACTCATTAATATCTTCATTGCCCCTGTGAGGTTGGTGAATCGGTTGTAACCAAGCGAGAGGAAGGACAAGGATTTGAATGAAAGAATCTTAGCTTGTATTTGTCCCTCTAGAAAATTATCACTCAATCCAATGGCTTTTAGAGACCGACATGAGTAAAGGCTTACTGGAATTGTACCAGTGAATTTATTGTGCCTCAGGTCAAGTTTAGTAAGTTGACTAAGTCTCGAGAAATCAAGCATGGAGATATCTCCTTTCAAGTTGTTGGATTGCACATGTAGTTCTAAAATTTTTGTACAATTCATCAAAGATGGGGGCAAATAACCTTTCAAATTGTTGAAATCAAGGGTCACAAACTTCAACTTAGAGAGCTTACCCAAATTGAGAGGAAGCTCGCCCCTAAATTGATTAAAGGAGAGGTCAAGGATGGCAAGGTTGGTGAGGTTGACAATTTTATCATTAATGGCTCCATGTAGTGAATTGAGATGGAATGCAAGTTCTTCAAGTTTGGTAGCATTATAGATATCTTCTGGAAGTAATCCTGAGATGTTATTGTGACTCGCACGAAAAACCTGCAGTTCGGAACACTTCCCTAGCCCAGGAGCAAGGTTGCCATTGAATTCATTGGAAGAAAAATCCAATAGCCTAAGGAAGGGAGAAGAATGGAGACAAATAGAGGATGGGACATACCCTTTGAAGGTATTGTTGCTGACGTTGAAATTAGTCAAGTTGCTTGCTTGTTGGAAGAATGAAGATGGAATTGCACCAAAGAAGTGATTGCTGGATAAATCAACTGTCCGGATATTGCTGGATGGTGGAGAAAGTGGTAGCTCTCCAGAAAGACGGTTATAGCTCAAATCAAGGATCTCAAGTCGATTTAAAGACAAGAAGAAGTGAGTTTGAAGTGAACCATATAGTGAATTGTGGGAAAGGTTCAAGTGGGTGAGATGTGTGAGATTTCCAAGTGGAGAAGGAGAGAGACCTGCTTTGAGCCCTTTGGAAGGCAAGAGCAAATGGGTGACCCAACCATCTTGATTACAAGTGATGCCCTCCCAATGACAGCAATCCATGGATGTCCAATTTAAAAGAGGAGAAGATAGAGTGGAGGCAAGGGACAGGAGGGAGCTGCGTTCTGTGTGTTTGCACGCAAGAATATTTGTAGATATAATGTAAGAGAATAAGAGGAAGAGAAGGAAGCCCTGAGCCATTAGGTTATAAGGCTGCACTAGCATGTTGCTTTGTGTATGTGTCTTGCTCACTTGTTTGTGTGTGTATGTATATATATATATATATATAAGAGCAACTACGCTTGAAAACAATGTAAACTTCACTGTGCACGTAGGTCGAAGAGAGATTCATCGGATCTTAATCCACAACGACTTCAAAGATCTTTTTTTTTTTTTTTTTTTGTGTGGATGAGGAACGACTTCAAAGTTGATAGTTTTTCTTCGAAATACGGTATGCATGCGTGCTTGTCAAGCCTGATCTCAACATGCATGCCACACATGTTAAGCAGAACCTTCGTAGCAAATCTTCTTTCGTCCGAGCAATGTGAACAATTTTTGTACAGAACGAATCTGTCACATGCCGTCGCGCTTTGATGCCCATTCTCTGCGCCATTTTCTGCTCAACTTTTGAGCTCCTCCAAATACTCAACATTTTCTCTCAACGCGTTCATCGAAGCCACCTAAAACACTGGACATGTATATGTGGAGCCCACTTCTACCAATCAACATTTTCTCTCAACGCGTTAGATTAATATATCAATGTCACATTAATGTCAACTAATCAGGCACTGAAACAGCATAACTTGTCTTCTAGCTCATACAGTAATCCAAAGCTAGTGCATATGATTGTTTACCCGGCATCCACATTTGGTAATAAAAGGCAACCCTCTGAGTGACGAGCATATAAGAATCCCAATATGACCAAACTGTACATTAAGACAAGATTTAATATCTGAATAGGTTCTTAGTTATTTGTTGCGATCAGATTGCTCAATGCTGTTTTTCGTTTGAAAGCTTTGAAGGACTTTTAGAGCTGAAGCTTCTCTGTTTGTTTTTGCCTAGAAACATATTCGTTTATCGAAATGTCAGAATTGAAAGTTTGACAACGTAACATTTCAAACTATTTTTAAAAATGTTACTTTCTTTTTTAGACCAGCACTACAGGGAAAATCTCTTCAAAGTAGAGATTGGGGGTTGTTAATTAGCATAAAGCATTCATTTGAATGTAAACCCTCAAATATTCTATCGAAAACCTCCAACCATATATATGAACACAACAGCGGATGAGCAAATAATGTCTTTGCCTTTGCCATGTGCAAGAGATAAATTGTCGATTGCCATGTTTGAAAAAATAAACAATCGACCGGAGCATGTGCCAGGCTGGCCATCAGAATGTTTTACAGCTTTTCCTGGTGACTGCATCAATGAGACAAAACGCAGCAAAGGCATGTGAACGAGTTCACATACAATCCACAACTACAGTTAGAGAACTACGATATTGTGGCCCATGGAGACGCTCAAATTTGTTGGCTTACACATTTTCCAAGCTGCCTTTTCATGCTGCTGCATCTTCAAGGCCTCAATGTGTCTTTGAAAAGGCCTCCTTGCCTCCTTGCCTCCTTGTAGACGGAAAACCTTACGTTTTACGTAGTCGAGTGTCGTACACGCCATTTCTCGTTCAAATTATTGCAAACAAAGCCCCACACGCAATCCAACATGACATGAAAATTTCGTGGAAGGTAGAGACTCACAATCCATCAACTGTAAACCGGGTTTCAGAGATTGGATAATGGCTAGTTGGTGGTGGTTTTTCTCTTTTCCTTTTTCTGGCATATTTGGTGATTTTTCGGTCTTGAGTTTATATTAAGAGATAAATTTACTTATAAAAAATAAGAGTATTGATATTGGGGAGTTTTATTGCCACCATATATGCTGTGGAAACTATTTTTACATATTTTTTTTCTTCATACAAGCAATATTGCGGAGGGAGAAACCGAACCTAGAACCTCAGATGCATGAGGAAATGCTCTTAACCACATAAGTATGTGGAAATTACTTCACATACTTTTAAATTAATCTATTAACTAGAAGCACTCATTCATCTTACCCAAAATACTTTTAAGTTCATTTAAAATGGTTCTACATGAGTCCTACAAAGTTCTCATAATTTCACGATTCCACATTTACCTAAGAGAGTTGAGAAATATGTTGGTGTCTCTAATATTATTGCATGAGAAGTGAATTGTCGTATACCAAAACACTTAGTAAAATAGATGCTATATATTTGTATGACTCCCAATCATGGTGGCAAAAAACATAATCGAAGCTAGCATTAATTATTGTATCATTGTAATTAGGGATGGACCAAGGATTTGAAAATAGGGTGGCTTAAATTTACCTTACATACAAACCTACTAAAAGATAAAAAAACTCAACCATACAAGTGAATTTCATTGATAACAAGAAGTTCCAAATTTCTAATTTGAAAAACAAAATAAATAAATAAACCCATGTAAATCTAGCAACATAGAAAAATTGAAGTAGGAATTTTAAGGTCAATTATAGCAATTACACGATAAACTTCTCCTTGAAAGGAAAAAAATTGAAAGAATTTATTCATTACAAAGGAAGAAGAAAAAAAAACTGAACCAATTTAGTCCATCTAGCCGTTCAAGCCCACTTCGAAAATAAAAATGAAAAGAAGGTATTCAAGCCAAGTTAAAGGATTTTCTTTGAGGGAATGAAATTAGTGTTTTCTAGAAAGGTGTATGTGTCACGTATGTACGAGGTTTTAGTTTATGTTTTTTTTTCTATCAGACTTGTGGGGTTAGTTAATTAACTAATAAAGAAGACTTATGTAGGTAGGATGGGGGTGTATGTGCCCTTGTGGGGTGTAAAAAATCAAGTCACCTAGGTTGGCTATTAACTTTGGGCTATAAAAAATTGAGTCACCTGTTTAATTTATGAAATTAATAAACATACTTAAATACTAATTATTCATTAAATAAAGAATAATTAAACCATAATTAATAATTACTATAATTAAATAAGGCTAAGATATTACTTAATTGCAAATATTAAACTAAAAAAACTAATTTTGTTTAAAAATAAATAAAAAACAAAGTCCATAAAATAATTAAAATTTATTAAATAATTTATGAAATTAGTAAAATATTTAAATACTAATTATTCACTAAAGAAATCATAATTAAAACATAATTACTAATTCAAGTAATCAAAAAAGGCTAACATATTATTTAATTACAACAACAACAACAAACAAACAAAAAAAACCATGTTGTGCAGTATAGCCTCGTGGCTATACATATAAAATATATTGATATTTAAAGAACTCTACAAATATATTCGAATATTTTAAAAGTATAGCCAAATATTCGAAAATATTAGAAGAGTATAGTCGTATGGCTATACTCTTTAAATATTAATATATATTCAAATTATCTAACAAAATATTATATATAAGGTACAAACCTTGATGGATGCATTTGCTGCAATGCTACAAATTCCACCAAATATGTAATTATGCTTCACTCCCGCAACAAAAGGTGCCATTTCCTCATATGTGGGTGTTATCTATGGGTAGAGAAACACAAATAAAATGTAAGGTCCATTTCCAATGCAGAGAGTTAAAGAATTAGTTCAGTTTGGGGGATTTTCAAATTTTGAATATCTGCAAAGGACATTAGCCAAGGAATTTCAACAGGTGGAGTCTAGGTACGTAGATGGTTGGTGAATAATAAGTTCAATTTGGGGGATTTCCAATTTTCCATGCCCTCATCTATAAATTTTGCCATGGAACCTCCAGTCTCATAAATTGACATGCTTCCCTTCCTTAAAGGATTTTCAGTTGTTTACCTCCCTAACTATCACCCTAATTGAAGTTACCCCCTTGAACAAAAAAAACCTACGTACCAATTTAGCACCCGAATCCTCTAATTTCACCCCTACTGTTAGATTCCAGATGATTTCATCCAAATTCTATCAAAATTCACACGAGAGCCTCACGTGGGATAGAACAAAAGGGCAATATAGTAATTCTAACACACACTTCCTCTTTCTCACGCACGCTCTCATCTCTCCCTATGAAACTTTCTCTCTCTCTCTCTCTCTCTCGTTCTTTCTCCCTCTATTTTTGTTTATCTTCTTCATCCTCTCTCATATTCTTTCTCTTCTTCTTCCCCTCTTTTTTTTTTTCCTCTTCTTCCTCCTCTTTTTATTTTTTATTTTTTATTTTTTTAATCCCATTCTCTGTTTCTCTCTCTATTTGGGGCTGATTATGGCTAGAAGGAGGATATTTGCGAAGGGTATTACGGTTGGGCTTGGATGTGCTCGAATGGTGAGTTTTGGGAAGAGGAGGAGTATGGGTTGGGTCTATTCCTTCGCATCTTCTTCTTGTTCTTCTTCTCAAATGTCAGAAATGGGTTGGGTCTATTTTTTGGATTGGTTGTGGTGCTTTGATTATGTGAAATAGGGCTAGTGTTTTTTTGTTTTGGCACCAAGCAATTAGGGAAGGTGCTAGGAATGATAGGGAAAGGTATTAGGATGACTATATTGCCCTATAGTTTTGTTCCACATGAGCCACACGTGTAAATTTTGACAGAACTTTGGATGAAATCATCTTAAATCTAACGATAGTGGTGAAATTAGTGAATTCATATAGTTCATGTGCTAAATTGGAAGATTTTTTAGTTCGGGGTGTAAGTTAGATTAGGGTCATAGTTCAGGGGGGGAAACGGCACTTTGTTCTTCTTGAAAATGTAACCATATCATGATTCACTACTAAAGGAAATGTTAATCTATAGACGGAGATCAGAGAAATAATGGTTTAATGATTTCAAATTACCGTTCTTGTTTTTTGTGGTTTGTCATGGTCATTTTTCTTTTTTCTTTTACTGCAGCCAGTAAACTTAATTTCGTTACTTCAATCACTATGAAAGATCAACATGGAATCCACTCGAAAATAGCAGAACATAAGATTAAAAAGGCTTAATTATTGTTATGGCCCTTGAAACTCAATTTGAATATCATTTTGTCACCTGAAACTCAATTTGTCACACTTTACTCCATGAAACTCAATTCTCCGTCTCACTTTGCCCATATTCATTAACTCCATAAAAAATAACATGAATTGTGAAGAGCAAAATGTTGAAATTGATAACAATCAAGGCAGATGTAAACATACGTTGATGCCCTATTCATGTTATAAAAATCTTTTCCATTAATTCATATTAGACTAGATATAATAACTTTCATATATAACCCATCAAGAAATCAAGGGTCACAAAATTTTAAGTTCCCAAAAATAATCTGTGAAAAATCACAGCAGAAAACACTAAAAAGATGCACACCGGATGAATATGTTAAAGCCAAGATATGGAATCAAAATCGCCTTCATTTCTCTGCAAATTCCAAGTCAAAGTCTCAAGGGAGAAGTTTTTTCTGCTATCTTGGGCCAAAACTGGGTAGGGTCTGGCCCAACATTTGTAATACAAAAGTATTGCGTTCGGGCCTTCGAGGCACAGGCTGTACATGCATAAATAAACACCCGACTTCGATATGATCCGACCCATTTCAGTTTCTGGACAAAAACGGGTCGTCGTCGTCGTCTTTCTCAGTTCTCAACTTCTCACACAGAAGAGTCTGTAACAGGAAGAAGAGAAGAGCAATGAGTGGAGAAGAATTAGCGGGCCCCCCAGCGCCAAAGCTCCTTCGTCTGCTTTATTTTGTCGGCGCTGGCTGTAAGTCATGAATTTTCATTTCAATTTTAAGTCTTCTTCTTCTCTCTTTTTAAATGGTTGGCTGATTTTAAATTCTGGGTAGTTATTTGCACTGTTGGAATCAACAAATGGCGTGAGCTTCAGCGCAAGTCCATTTTACAACAACAGCAGCAGCAACAGCTCCCTGAAAATGCCGCAAATGCCATTGAGTGATCTCCAGGTTTTTTATTTGAAAATCTTGCTGTTGTTTTAAGGCAAGTTTTCAATTTTTATCATGGAATTTGGCAAGTGAACTTGATCTTTGGCTTCATTTTGAGTTTGTATGTACTGCTTCAGCTGAACTCGTGTTAGACTGAGCTTTGGTAGTTTGGTTGTTAAATTATGTGGAAAATGGTGCAAGAATTCATATCTTTCAATCTGTTTGAATATACGAAATACCTATGTGTGCAAATTTCTTCAGCTTCATTTTGAGTTTGATCAAATTGCTAATCTGAGTATTTAGTGTACAAATTTGAATGGTAATGGGGATTGTCAACATTTCGATTTTGTATACATTTGTGCTTGTTTTGTGACATTTTCTCTCTAGTTTATAGTTTGATTCCGGCAATATACACCATTCTTGAGGATGACTCAAATAGCGAGATTATTGATATTGAGTAAGAAGGTGAGATTATTGGTGTGTGTATGCGAGCGCAGTTGGGGGGGGTGCTATTGTGAGTACCAAAGAGCTTTCTCATCTTAGAATATGCATGTCTATTGAAGCTGTGGATTCTAATCCAAATCGAGGCGAATTTTTCGTAATGCTAGGTAAGAGTTCTGGCAGTCTTTATCTAAGATGCTTTGGCATAAGGTGGCTTGGGGTTCCCCATAGCATGCATGCTTCTATTTATTCACTTTGGATAGTCATGCATTGCACTATTTTATTTGTTGGTTATCAGAACAACTTACTGTTGAAGATTACAATTATATGTTAGTGGACCTTGTATTTGTGTAGATGCTACGTTAAACCATCTTCAAGTATATAAACAAGCATGTTTTTAAGTTATTAATGAAATTGGAACTTAGTGCCAGTATGACAAGAGGCAACATGTAAGTGATTTGTAGGGCAGTGAGAGTTCGGTAGTTTTCTACTTTTATGTCTTGGATTTTGCAGCATGCTCCCTTTCAACTATCCTCGGATGCTTATGCATAATCAATTGGAGGTTCTAACTTCTAACTTCACATAATGTAGCCAAAACCATGAGGCAATCACTTCACTGAGTTCTGCAACCTTCACTTAATGCAGGTGATATGTAATGCTAGTTTTCTTCAAAGTTTTCACTCAGTTTCTAAATAAATCTGTCAAAATGAGTTTCGTGATAACGGAGTTTGCAAAAATTAAGGGGATGTCTACAACTGCTTTGAGATAGTTCTGTCAATAGTGATTGTTTTAATGTAACTGCCTTCATATGTGGGGCAAACAACTTGGAAAGAATGACCATCCTTCAATTTTCTTAGAAAAATCATCAATCATTCATAAAGAACTATATGTACCCAACAGACTGTCAGACTCAAACAAGGTCATGCACCCAACAGACTGTCAGACTGTTGGGTACATATAGTTCTCTGTTGCAGCTAGAAAAATCATCAATCATCAATCACGTATATCAGACATGCATCAGTCATTCATAAAGAAGCCCTTTCTACATAAATAGCAGAACATAAAATTAAAAATAATGTATCAGTCTCTGAGTTGATTCAATTGAACAACTTATGCTGCAAGGTCATGCAGTCTTCAGTCTTCAGTCTCAGTCCAAGCAACGTCCGAATTCCGCCTTCTTGGCATCATTTTGGCAAGCCAAATTCCGGCAAGTTGTTGAATAAATAAAAAAGGAGGTAGAAGGAAAGTGAGCATTGAGAATTCTGTTCTTGGTGTAAGTATATATGAAAGAAGAAAGTTGAATTATGTAGAGGCCAGTGCTAGAGTAGCTAGCATGTAAACAACCATCTGTGAAAATCAGCAAATTTTATAGAATATAGCGATCTTACACACTCAAACAACACAATCTGAAATATGTATATAACTCCAGGTAAATAGAAGTACAACAAGCATTACAATACCCAGGAATCCAATTCCAGAGCCTACTTCTTAATCATATTCATATAGAAGCTAAATATATAAGATAATATAGTACTAGTTGGGGGTTGCTAAGAAATTTTGTGATTGCTCTTCATAGCGGAAACCAATTGCCTTGGAATCATCTGCAGACCAAACAAATATACCATGAAGTTGTTGCTCACTCTTGAGCGTGTCACAGGCAGTGAAAAAACCATTCTCAGGGGACAGTCCACGACTCCCATCACTGATAAAGCTTGCCAAGACCTTCCCACCGTTGTAATTGGAGCTTTGTGTCTTGAAGTAATTGATGAATTGAGACACTGTGGTTCCCTGATCGTATGCGTAAAACTGGAAATTCACATAGTCTATCAAGTGGCCATAGCTCTTCCACAAGGCCAAGTAGTGGCTCTGAACTTGGTCATCATCAAAGGGAGCAATGGAAGCAAATGATATCACTCCATTGTTCTTGAGGGTTGTTATAAGCTTCCCAATGCACTCGGAGAAGGTAGCAGGGTCTGCGCTGAAGTGCTCGTAATCAATGTCAATTCCATCCAAATTGTACTGCTGAATGATGCCTGTGAGAGAAGAAACAGCATTGGAAACCCATGAGTCAATTGAGGAAGGCTTGAATTCAGCAGGGACACCATTCACAGTGTCTCCTCCTAGGCTAAAGGCCACTTTGACATTTGAATGCTGATTTTTGATGGAGGAAACTTGGGAAGGGCTAAGATTATCAGAGTCCCAGAAGACATTGAATTTTCCATTGGTGGGAGAGGAGGAGGTGTCATAGTCTATGGCAAATGAGAGAATGAAGTGGAATTCAACATTTGGGTTAATGGGGACATCAGAAAACTTGACATTCTTGAATTCAGCTCCTATGTATTCTCTGAAGAGATCTGAGTTTGCTGGGGCTGCTTGGATTGATGTAGGGGATGTGAGGAGGGTTTGAAGGAAGAAAAGGGTGAAGATGAGCTTAAGCTTTGGGAGTGCCATATTGCTCATATAATATTGAAGACTGCTAGATGTTTTTGTGTTTATGTTTTTATGAGTGAAATTGAAACTTGTTAACCGCCGGTGATATAGTGTGGCCCTCAATGTGAATATGCAGGTAAGGGATATGTGGAAACAAGCTAGTTGATCTGATTGTGTGCAGTGCCGTTTCAGTAAGCTTTGTCTTGGCAGGATTGCGCAATCTGTGGGTCTTGGATAAGTTTAGCCATAGCCAAGGGAGAACTCTCTTGGGTTACAATCGCAAAGAAATCATGTTTCACCGTTCTTAGTCCTGTCTCTAGGGCCCCCACTGTCGCACAAAATGACAGGTTTATAAGCTGCCATAACCACACAACACAAATTATCCAAACCCCTCTGTAAGTCGAAGAGAAATTTCCACGAAGGAAACCAAAGCGAAGACCTTGTTTAAAGTCTGCATTGACTCCGAAGTAGTTTGGCCCTCAAGCGAAGATCTTCATATACTGAAATTTCATTTTTGACTTTTAAGGCAGCTGATATGTGATACCAGCGCATCTTCCATGTCAATCAAAGTCCAAGTTCCAAGTTGTTTTCCTGTTGATTTTTCTAAGAAAATTGGAGGATAGTCATTCTTTCCAAGTTGTTTGCCCCACATATAGGGCAGTTACATCAGAAGTATCACGTATCAGACACGCATCAGTCATTCATAAATAAACCCTTTCTACACAGTAACAGAACATATAATTAAAAAGGCTTAATGATTGATATGGCCTTTGAAACTCAATTGAATCTTACTTTGCCACCTAAAACTCAATTTGTCACACTTTGTCCCCTGAAACTCAATACTCTGTCTCACTTTGCCCATATTCATTAACTCCATAAAAATTAACAGATCCATGGATGTCCAATTTAAAGTCTGGTGCTTGGCTACTCCTGCAGACTCTGCTTCTCCTCTCTTGAAGATCCAGGGACCGTCTCTGACAACGATGCTTGAAAACGATGCAAATTTAAAGTCCACAATGCCTTCAGAGTAGTCAAATTTGTTGCCGTGACTAATAATGGTGATAATTTTTCACCGAATTAGGAAGATATATGGCCTGATAGTGACAGTGGCAGTCAAGCCTGATCCAACATTACATTGACGTCCTATTCATGTTACACAACTAGCATAACATAAAATTAAAAAGGCTTAATTATTTATATGTCTCCTGAAACTAAATTTGAATCTCATTTTGCCACTTGAAACTCAATTTGTCATACTTTACCTCTTGAAACTCAATTCTCTGTTTCACTTTGCCCATATTCATTAACTCCGCAAAAAAATAACAGAGCATTGAGTTGTGAAGAGCAAAATGTTGAAAACGTTGAAAAATTGGCAAATCATCACTAACCATACAATACAAATTCTCCAACCCCCATCTAATGTAGCGACATTATAGACCACATTATTAGGTCTAAAGAGGGGGCTATGATAGACCATTCAAGAATAAATGACTGAAAATGACCCCCAAACTCCAGCAGAAGGAAGGCAACCACGTCGAAAATGTTGGAAGATTGTTACGTAGATAAAATGGGATTATATGTGAAAAGCCCTAATCTTTTTACACACATTTTTTCTATTCAGTTGATATAGTATTCATGATTTTGGACATACAAATCAGTCGTTTTCGCCATAGAAAGGATAATATACTGAAGCATGAAGTTGTATTTGTTGCTTGCAAATGGTAGCATGAAGAAATAAGCATCCGAAACATAAGAAATAACTATAAGAACAAACTGTGCTTTTATTACATCAGGAACAATAGAGAAAGAAAAAAGAAAGGAAAAGCAAATGGAAAATGAAAATTAAAAACATACAATATTAATAATAAATATCTAGCCTCTAAGCGTTCTTCTCATGGTGTTGATGCGGACTGTTATCATCATATAGAGCTATTTTGCAGATTGTCTATGAATAAAAAATACATATATCTCCATGTCTTGTTAATAACTAAAAAACCGCATAGACCCAAAAATCCCACTATGAACCCAACGCAGCAAAAATATGAAACCATGGAAGTCGATGAAGCCCATTGTCCACCACATCTTTGCTGTTCGTGTTGTCTGCATCAATGCCCTTATTTCGTCCACACTTATCTGGAAGTGGGGCACCACAAAGTTTCGCGTTCCCCTCAAATACAGAAGCATCGAAGCTTTGGACTTGGGTGCCTCTTGGTATTGGTTAAGATTATTCTATGAGACATTAAATTTTTACAAGAAATTAAGGCATGCCAATGACAATGGGATTTTTCCAGACAAATGATTCGTGGACAGATTCAAAACCTCTAAATTTGTTCGGTTAGAAATTTGGTCTGGAATGATGCCACAGAAGTTGTTGGAGCGAAGACGCAACGAGCAGAGAAGAAGCAAGTGGTCGATGTGAGTGGGTATATCACCAACAATGTTATTTTTAGACAAGTCTATCGTTGCTGGTTAAAAATACAATTTATGTGGTTCAGAAGTTTGATTTTCCGTATGATGTTGCCCAAAATAGGCAATTCAAATTCATATTGTTCTTCATGAGATGCAATATTAGGTTTAGGAAGAGTCTCTCCAATCAAGTTGGAATTGGCCCTGTCATTTGAATACCACCCAGAAACAAGATTTCTAGATTCTTAAGCTTTAACTATACAAGTATTTGATCATTTGAAGTTACAACCACCCAAACTCAATAACCGAAGATTTTGGAATCCTTCAAAATCAGCCATGTCATCATCAGCTGGCACTCTCTCACCTTTAAAGGAACCACTAACCAGGAGTGTGCAAAGACTTTTGGAGCTCATTAATATCTTCATTGCTCCTGTGAGGTTTGTGAACCGGTTGAAACCAAACGACATAACAAGGATTTCAATGAAAGAATCTCAGCTTGTATTTGTACCTCTAGATGATTTCCACTCAATCCAATGGCTTTTAGGGATCTACATGAGTAAAGGCTCACTGAAATCGTACCAGTGAAGTTATTGATCTTTAGATCAAGTTTAGTAAGTTGTCTAAGTCTGAAATTAAGCATGGAGATATGTCCTTCCAAGTTGTTGGATCCCAAACGTAGTTCTACAAGGTTTGTGCAATTCATCAAAGATGAGGGCAAAGCACCTTCTAAATTGTTGAAATCAAGGGTCACAAACTTCAACTTGGAGCGCTTCCCTATATTGAGAGGAAGCTCGCCACAAAAATGATTAAAGTAGAGGTCAAGGATGACAAGGTTAGTGAGGTTAATAATTTTATCACTAATGGCTCCATGTAGTGAATTGAGAGATAATGCAATTTCTTCAAGTTTGGTAGCATTATAGATATCTTATGGACTATATACATATAGTCTCATTCTATTGAGGGATTTCTTAAATAAAATGACACCTTTTAGGGTTCCTTTGCGAATTTTTTTTCAATGATCCAAACTATACATTTTTTAAGTCTACATTCATAGATCATCCTTACAAAAAAATTAGACAAATTAGAAACCGTTTCGATATCCAATTGTGTCCTACAAAATCAATGACCACGGTGCTTCAAGTACTAAAATTTCAATAATTCAATTGAGTGGTCAAATGATAGCGGATTTTTCAAGTGATTTTTTTTAGAGATGATCTTTAAATGAATATCTACAAAGTAGACGGTTTGGATTAGTAAAAAACAATGCGGAGTGAGCCCTACAAGGGGTGTCCCTCAAATAAGCTTATTTAAGGAATTCCTCAACCGAAGCTCACTATATATATAAGAACAACCATGCTTGAAAACGATGCAAATTTAAAGTCCACAACACCTACAAAGTACTCAAATTTGTTACCCTGACTAATAATGGTGATAATTTTCCATGGAATTGGGAAGATATATGGCCTGAGAGTGACAGTGGTAGTCAAGCCTGATCCACTATTACATTGATGTCCTATTCATGTTACACAAATAGCATAACATAAAATTAAAAGGCTTAATTATTTATATAGCCCCCGAAGCTAAATTTAAATCTCATTTTGCCATTTGAAATTCAATTTGTCATATTTTATCCCCTGAAACTCAATTCTCCATCTCACTTTGCCCATATTCATTAACTTCATAAATAAATAAAAAACAAAGCATTGAATTGTGAAGAGCAAAATGTTGAAATTGATAAAAGTCAAACCAGATATAAACATACGTTGGTGCCTTATTCATGTTATAAAAATTTTTTCTATTAATTCATATTAGACTATATATAATAACTTTCGTGTATAACCCATCAAGAAATCAAGGGTCACAAATTTCAACTTCCCAAAAATAATCAGTGAGAAATCAAAGCAAAAAACACTTAAAAGATGCACATTGGATCAATATGTTAAAGCTAAGATATGTAATCAAAGTCTCCTTCAATTCTCCGCAAATTCTAATTCAAAATCTAAAAAGATAAGTTTTTTCTGCTATCTTGGGCCAAAACTAGGTCGAGTCTGGCACAACATTTGTAATATAAAAGTATTGTGTTCGGGCCTTCGAGGCACAGGCTGGACATGCATAAATAAACACCCGAGTTTGATATGATCCGACCCATTTCAGTTTCTGGACTAAAACGGGTCGTCGTCGTCTTTCTCAGTTCTCTCTCACACAGAAGAGTCTGTAACAGGAAGAAGAGAAGAGCAATGAGTGGAGAAGAATTAACGGGCCCCCCAGCGCCAAAGCTCCTTCGTCTGCTTTATTTTGTCGGCGCTGGCTGTAAGTCATGAATTTTCATTTCCATTTTAAGTCTTCTTCTTCTCCCTTTTTAAATGGTTGGCTGATTTTAAATTCTGGGTAGTTATTTGCACTGTTGGAATCAACAAATGGCGTGAGCTTCAGCGCAAGTCCATTTTACAACAGCAACAGCAGCAACAGCTCCCTGAAAATGCCGCAAATGCCCTTAAGTGATCTCCAGGTTTTTTATTTGAAAATCTTGCTGTTGTTTTAAGGCAAATTTTCAATTTTTATCATGGAATTTGGCAAGTGAGCTTGATCTTTGGCTTCATTTTGAGTTTGTATGTGCTGCTCCAGCTGAACTCGTGTTAGACTGAGTTTTGGTAGTTTGGTTGTTAAATTATGTGGAAAATGGTGCAAGAATTCATATCTTTCAATCTGTTTGAATATACGAAATACCTATGTGTGCAAATTGCTTTGGCTTCATTTTGAGTTTGATCAAATTGCTAATCTGAGTATTCAGTGTACGAATTTTAATGGTAATGGGGATTTTGTCAAGATTTCGATTTTGTATACATTTGTGCTTCTTTTATGACATTTTCTCTCTAGCTTATAGTTTGATTCGGGCAATATACACCATTCTTGAGGATTTCTCAAGTAGCGAGATTATTGATATTGAGTAAGAAGGTGAGATTATGGGTGTGTGTGTGTGTGTTTGCGCATGGGCGCAGTGGGGGGTGCTATTGTGAGTACCAAAGAGCTTTCTCATCTTAGAATGTGTATGTCTATTGAAGCTGTGGATTCTAATCCAAATTGAGGCGAATTTGTCATCTGTGAATAATGCTAGGTAAGAGTTCAGGCAGTCTTTATCTAAGATAGTTTGGCATAAGGTGGCTTGGGGTTCCCCATAGAAATACCATAGCATGCATGCTTCTGTTTATTCACTTTGGATAGTCAAGACACTATTTTATTTGTTGGTTATCAGAACAACTTACTCTTACTCTTGAAGATTGTAATTATATGTTAGTGGACCTTGTATTTTTGTAGATGCTACGTTAAACCATCTTCAAGTATATAAACAAGCATGTTTTTTAAGTTATTAATGAAATTGGAACTTAGTGCCAGTATGACAATAGGCGATATGTAAGTGATTTGTAAGGCGGTGAGAGTTCAGTAGTTTTCTACTGTTATGTCATGGATTTTGCAGCATGCTCCCTTTCAACTATCCTCGGATGCTTATGCATAATCAATTGGAGGTTCTAACTTCTAACTTCACATAATGTAGCCAAAACCATGAGGCAATCACTTCACTGAGTTCTGCAACCTTCGCATAATGCAGGTGATATGTAATGCTAGTTTTCTTCAAAGTTTTCACACAGTTTTTAAATAAATCTGTCAAAATGAGTTTCGTGATAATGAAGTTTGCAAAAACTAGGGGAGGGTCTACAACTGCTTTGAGATAGTTCTGTCAATTGTGATTGTTTGAGTCTGACAGTCTGTTTGGTACATATAGTTATCTGTTGCGGCTAGATGGCTGGATGCAGTTTTCATTTGAAAGCCTAGAGGGACTTTTGGAGCTGAAGCTTTCATGTTTGTTTTTGCCTTGATACATTCTTTTGTCGAACTTTATCAATAAAGGTTATTGATTGGGCAGAATCATATCTGAATATGTGGTCAGGATTTAAGATTTGACATTTCAAACTATTTTAAAGAACGTTTCATGGCTTTTAGATCAGCACAGGGAACATCTCTTCAAACCAGAGATTGGGGTCAATCCTCAATAAATTCTCTGGAAAACCTCTAACCATATATATGAATACAACAGCGGGTGTGCAAATAATGTCTTTCACTTTGCCTCGTGCAAGAGATAAATCGAGGTCAGACGATTGCCATGTTTGGAAAAACAATTGACCAGAGCATGTGCGAGGCTGGGTATCAGAATGTTTTACATTTTTGCCTGGTGGCTGGCTGCATCAATGAGACAAAACGCCTCAAAGGCAAGTGAACGAGTTCTTATACAAATCTTCCCATGTTTTACAAGGTTCCTGTCAAGCATTTTGAAGATGGATTGACAGAGGAATCTTTGTTCCTTTTAACACAATGTTAAAAGGAACAAAGATTTCTGTGTCAATACCTCTTCGATTAAGGAAAATACTTGCCTCATTCCCTGGAAGTAGAAACTCCTACTTTCCTGTCAGTCACATTTTGATATGTGTGTAGAGATGTTTTGTGTTTTTGATGAATTATTTTTGTATAAGTGTCAAATTGTTATTTGTAAAAAGTAGGAATGTCTCCTCCTAAAGATGGAGGGAAGCAGTGTCCTAAAATTAATATCTAGATCCTATAGAAGCGCATAGATTTAACATTGTCAGGGCCCCCAATAAGCTTCCTGTCAATCATTTTCAAGATGGATTGATTCTTTTGACAGATGAATCTTTGTTCCTTTATGAAATGAACCTAAACAATCATTTCAAGCAAGAGGAGCGTAAGACAAGCTGTACAAAAATTGGAAAGTGAAAAGAAAAATAGATTGACAAGGAGATTATATGGAGATTATATACGACCAATATTAGCTCTTCCACCACCAATAACAGAGTTGGGGCCGTACAGTCTTCAATTCTGGTATTTGTGCAAGAATAATATACACAAGCAAAACCAAATTCAACTTTATTATCAGCATGTTAATTATGGCAAACTTTATTATTAATGTCACAAATTTACTAATATGTGAGAAGAGTAGACACAAATAAGAAGACATAATTATAAGAACCGAAAAAGAAGACATAGTTATAAGAACAAGCACTGCCTTATTGCATCAGGAACGCAAAAGAAAAAATGAAAAACCAATCTAGCCTCTAAGCCTTCTTTGTATCATGTTATCATCACATAGAGCTTATGTTGTACATTATCTATGAATCGCAAAAATGCATATCTCCAAGTCTTGTTAATAATTAAAGAACCACATACTCCCCGAAATTTTACTATGAACCCCAATGCAGTGAAAATATAAAACCATGGAAGTTGATGATGCCCGTTGTCCATGTTGTTCTTGTCATCTTCATCAATGCCCTTATTTGGTCCACACTTATGTGGAAGTAGAGCACCACAAGGTTTTAGGTTCCCCTCAAAGGCCGAAGTGTCGAAGCTTTAGATCTGAGTGCTTGTTGGTATTGGTCCTTGGAGATTATTGTACAAGACATTAAATACACTCAAGAAATTAAGGCTCGCCAATGAGGATGGGATTTTTCTAGACAAATGATTCATGGAGATATCCAAATTCTCTTAGTTCTTGAGTTTAGATATTTGGTCTAGAATGACGTCGGAGAAGTTGTTGGAGTGATGAATCAGCTGGCAAAGAAGCTGCAATTGGCCGATCTCAGTAAGTATGTCACCATTTATGTTATTATTAGATAGGTCTATCAATGCTCCAAAGAAAGACAATTTCCTCGATTGAAAACTTGGATTTGTGAGTATGCCCGAAAAGATAGGTAATTCAAATTCATAACTAGTGTTGTCTACTTGAGATGCAATATTAGGTTCATAAACCAACCATGATAGTCTACAAAGTTGCTTTGGTAATTCACTTGAAATTTGGTTGTATGAAAAGTCCAGACAAAGCAGTCTAGGAAGAGTCCCCAACCAACTTGGAATTGATCATGTGATTTGATTATTACCCAGAGTCAAGATCTCTAGATTCTTGAGCTTTGATAACTATAAAGGTATTTGACCAATGAAGCTAGAATAAGCCAAACTCAATAGCCGAAGATTTTGGAATCTGTCAAAATTAACCATGTCATCATCAGATGGCATTCCCTCACCTTCAAAGGAACCAACAAAGGTGAGCGTGTGAAGACTTTTGCAACTCCTCAATAACTTTATTGTCCCTGTGAGGGTGGTGAATCGGTTGTAACCAAGAAAGAGGAAGGACAAGGATTTCAATGAAAGAATCTCAGCTTGTATTTGTCCCTCTAGATGATTTCCACTCAATCCAATGGCTTTTAGGGACCTGATGTTTCTCCGCATCTACAACTACTTTGAGATGATTTTGTGAATGGAGATGGTTTTGCTTCTGACAGTCTGTTTGGTACATATAGTTATATGTTGCAGTCAGATTGTTCAAAGCAATTTTTCATTTGAAAGCCTCGACGGACTTTTGGAGTTGAAGCTTTTATGTTTGTTTTTGCCTAGAAACATTCGTTTATCGAACTATCAATCATCTTGATTGGGAAGAAGCATATCTGAATACGTGGTTAAGATTGAGAGTTTGACAATATAATATATTTTAAATCATTTTAAATAACATTACCTTCTTTTTTAGGCCAGCACGGGGAAAATCTCTTCAAATTAGAGATTGGGGGTTGTTACATAAAGGCTTCATTGAATGTAAAACCCTCCAACAATTCTCTGGAAAACCTCCAACATGCATTTATATGAAGTTATGAACACAACAGTGGGTGAGCAAATAATTAATGTCTTGCCATGTGCAAGGGATAAATTGAGGTCAAGTGTTTGAAAAAAAAACAAAACAAAACAAAAGCAGTTGACCAGAGCAGGTGCGACATGTTCGGCATCAGAATGTTACAGTTTTGCTGTTGACTTCATCAATGAGACAAACCGCGCCACAAGAATTGAATTATTTTTATATTCTGAGTCGATATTTTTTTAAAACTCAAATCATTCTACTAGAACCTGCAATATTGTGCCCGATCGAGACACACAAATTTGTTGGCTAACAATTTCCCGAGCTGCTCTTTCATGCAAAGATTGACATGAAACTTCCTGGAAGGTAGAGAGTCACAATCCATCAACTGTAAACCGGGATTTAGAGATTGGATAGGTTGTATCTCTTTCCTCACGGAGAAGCAAACCAACCAACCTGAACCTACTGCAAAATTGCCTCACTAGCATGCACAGAAAAAGCAAAACCAACGCATACCCCCACATCTATCAAACAGAAAACATTTCACCATCTTCTTCCACGTAGCCAAGTACGTGCCTCGTTGTCACTCCATCACCAATAACAAAACCCCACGCCCCATACACACATCCAAATTGGCATCAAAACCAAACCCCCAAAAAACCCTTCAAACCCTCTCTCAACCCAATTTTCCACCCAACGGAAAAAATCAACCACCACCCAAAAGTCCCAACAATGAGCAGCAGCAGCAGCTTCACCAGCTTCTACGAGACTTGGTTCGAGCAGCTCCACCACCTCGTCCACCAGCTCTCCACATGTCCCAGACCCCCCA